ATGTACTCACTATTGTTTGGGTACAAGAAGGTTCCCCCAAGGTGCACCCATCCATCACTGGGACTCACACGTATACGCGTGGCTAGTTCCAATACACTAGTTGTTCCTGCCATAATAAACACATATTACGTTAGTTTCAGCGACAGATAGAATTAATATTGACGTGGGCAACTGACCAACTGATCATAAACGGAGTTACGGAGTTCGCTCGTCTGTGATCAAATCCGATATAATTAGTGGAACTTCCCTGGAATGGCTCATGGAGCAGATGTTTGAGCACGCATAGGAATTCCCAATGTGCAGTGACCTCGCTTATGACAATATGGCTGATTGAATGGCACCTTTCTGTTTTTCCAGACGATAGTGTTATATTGCGCATGAGCAGGCATATGACTCACAGCCCTTGACGCTGGCGAGTGTGACTAGCAAGATCCGCCTGTGTTGAGAAAAGTCTTCCACAATTATAGCATGGAGTTTCAGACCACTTGTTGTCAACACTCTTTTCTGAAGAAAAGAAAGAAAATCTCTAATTCCTCTCCATCTTTAATAATGCTAGAGACATAGTTTTACCCAAAATCACATTTGTTTAACACAAGAGGTTAAGCCCTCTAAGTCAACACTGAAACAGTTTGCTTGCAGAGGGCAACAATAAACTCGCTACCAGCATTGCAACTGACCCAAAAAGAAATTTGTCATGCATGCCGGCATCTACACAGAGGCCATCTAGATAATAGCTTTGATAAATCAGCACACCTTTATTATATAAAGCAAAGGTGAGAAATAGTAGATTAGTGTTTCTTACCATTAGAGAAACTGGATGTGATCCTCACATAGACGGGCTGATCTGCACTCGCCGGAGAATCATCGATGAGCTGAATGTACGCGCTAAATTCATATCTGCTCCCACCAGTGAGAATGATATCTTGTGTTGGGCCTTGCCAGTCCTGAGTTCTGTAGGGTGGAACATGAGTCGGATTATTATAGTCTAATGCTGAGATAATTAACCAAAAAGAGAAATATCAAGGGGAACTAGCTCATACACACACACACACACGCACACACACACACACACACACACTTCAACAGTATTAATCGACTCAATGATTTGGACAGAGCAGTAATGCAATTTATAGACCCTAGGAGAAAGAGAATATAGATCAGCTGATAGTGGACGCATCAAGGACTTCCTGGACGTGAAAGTTCACCAGGCGGGAACATTGGCAAAGGGTTAAGTGGATTTCCTGAGTTTTATAACGAAAGACATTCTGCAACACGCTTACCGCATAACTACGACGACTAGGATTATGAGATATACAGTAACAAGTTTATTTATCGTATGTGAAAGGTTTGTGAAAAGTAAGAATCGTTACAAAAACCTTTATGGCGCGTTGGCTGGTATTGTGGGTGAGTGAAGTTAAAGTCCACTAGGACCGCATGCTGATCGATTATTAGTATCTGGCGCAAAGTGCAAAGTATCTTCATTCGGATGAGACTCCCCAAGTACACATTTAGAAACCCTGTTCAACCATTAAGTTATATTGTGGCCTGCGACGGTTGCAAAGTAACATAAAGTCCAGACAGTTAGGATGATAACCATTCATAATATTTATAGACTAATCTGCACTCTAAATAGCTGACGTGATCAATATCTTGCCAACCGCCTTTACTTGTCAGCCCATTTTCCGATACCCACTTGAGTAAACATCCAATAAGAATACCTTTTGTTACTTCAGCATACAGGCTATGAACTAAGCTATACATACATCTACAACTACTAATAGAAACAGAATGCAGTGGATCCCATGGAGCTGTTCAATGATGGCAGCAACACACAGATTTCCCGATAACTACAGAGCCCAATTGTATCCTGCCAACCTCCTTCTAAACAGACATCAGTATTTACATCTTTCAGTTCCCCAGAACTCAAAATACGTTTACTTGTTAACGTGAAGCTGGCACACACACACAAAAAAATTTCTCAACTATTCTATAATCTTTCTCACCCAAGCTGTTATTTCAATGTCCTCTACATCGTTGCATTATTTTAACTTACTTAAAAAAAAAAAACTGTAACCTTAAAATCCAATAACTTCAGGACATTACTTCTTTTTTTTTAAGGGCAAACAAAAACCGCCTGGTGCCTGTTCTCACTTTAAAGTGTCTCAAAAACGTGCCGCCATTCACTACAGTATATTACAGTAGTACAACAAGATGCCTTGAAGAGTACCGGTACTGCTCACCGTTGCTTACAGTCAGAATAAAAAAAAAAATGCCCTGTGTATATAGGTACATTTTATTAAACTCATATTTACCTGTCTGTGCACAAAGCGGAAGCTGCTCCTTCATGGGCAATGCTGGAGTCTGTCTGTAAAGTGAAGCCTTCACCTTTCCATCCCGTCACGCCATTCTCAAAGCTGGGATTCGTCAGCAGATCCTGACCGCTACAAAGGGCACTAATAAACAGCACACACCAGAACGAAACGTCTATTAGATGCCACATTTTGTTCACGTTTGGCTTCTCACTTTACAGCCCACGAGCGAAAGTCAGAAACAAAGTTACTTAAATGTAACTTGTCTGGAAGATTAGTAAGCATTTTTTAAACAAGGATAGGACTCTTTATAGGTTAACATACATCTGTTGTTTTCTCACGTAGTAATTACTTTGGTCATTCATTTTTTTTTCTGACATCGACCTGTTTATGCCTAACTCAGATATACACTCTTTAAAAAAAGATACTGAGCAGAAAACATGACATTTAGGACTTCATGATTTTAGTACGTTGTTCTGGAGACTAAAAATAAACATATGGCATGGAATCTAGGTAATCAGATTTACAGAGACTGATCAATGATGTATAAGTACAGGTTTAGCTTCTAACTCACGTAGACAAGGTATGAATCAAGCTGACAATTTTGACAATGAATGAGTGAATGAATGAGTAATAGAATGAATGAACGGACACCTCGGCACTCGAGACAATCGCAACGGACTCCATCCCTTTTTTGAGTAGACAGATAAGAATTAAAATACTGATTGTGCAAGTGTGACCTGTGACTGAAAGTAGGCAATTATTATTTTCTGAGCAACCAGACCGTCTGCTAAGTCTCGACTGTAGCAGTTTTACGCACAATCGGTACTCTGTTTCCAGTATTCTTGGCATTTTTTTTATCATGACATACGAGAGCTGACAATTAATCTGAAGATAATGAGATAAGGATGATAATGATGATTTGTGTGTATGTGTGCGTGTGTGTGTGTGTGTGTGTGTGTGTGTGTGTGTGTGTGTGTTTGTATAGGTTCATATGTGAATCAATTGGAAGTCTGGATTTTAACTCTAAAATTCGCCTCATGAAAGTTCACTTCATGAAAACAATGTATTTACTGATTAATCCACTTCTTTTAGTTCGTGTAGGGCAGTTGGTTATTGGGGCTGAGAATTTTGGTTTGTACGTCTAGCATACACACCACGAACCGCGCATGTAAGAATGTTTTATCGCCCCCCTACCCCACCCACCTCCCCCGAGGAAAAAATCAAAACAACATCCATCATCTTACTGAGTATTCGAACCCGGGTTTCTCGTTATTCGGCCAACCACTCTGTCAGCTGACCCTGCTATATTTATGTCAATCTAAGTTAGGAAACTTTCCTTTTGACCCACTACTGAAGTACCATGTGCCTGGGAATGGTGTCAATTGTCCTCTTTTACCTCCAAAGCTACAATGGCTTGATCAACCGATGCTGGAACATCAATCCCGCTCAGACATACATACATATGTGGATTTAACCAGATCACGATTCAGCATAGCCATGTAGAGCGTAGAACAAAACCATAAGAATATTTAGCATTCGGAATAGAACTGCTAACCGAAAATTAATAATACCATGCATCAGGAAAAAACAACAAAGTGGATCTTAAAATTTAAACACACACACACATACACACACACACACAGAAAAAGAGCAATGAAACCGTTAAAGGACAATGAGTTTTTCCAATCGGCTGGCATGCATCTAGTTTACTTGCAAGCAAATAACGATGACTATGAGGATAGTAAGAATGATGATATAAATATATGTACTATCATATGCTTTCAGTACACATAACCACACCCCGAGTATAGTTGCGTGTGCAACAATTCTACTGTTATATTCTTATCTCGCCGTACGCGTCGAGTCCTTGCTCGTGTTGCATAAGTGCATACGCACCTAAGGATTACACATGAAGTTCTAATAATTGGACATTCATTGTTTAAAAAAAAAAAATAGTTAAAACAGCCAATCGTAAAAGACTTCCTGTTGGAAGACATTTTTATTTTTTATTGTTGTTGAAACTCTCCACTCTCCGGACCTAACATCATAACCAGGATGCAGTGACATTTTTTTTTCACTTTCTGTCTGTCTGTCTGTCTGTCTGTCTGTCTGTCTGTCTGTCTGTCTGTCTGTCTGTCTGTCTGTCTGTCTGTCTGTCTGTCTGTCTGTCTGTCTGTCTTTCTTTCTTTCTTTCTTTCTTTCTTTCTTTCTTTCTTTCTTTCTTTCTTTCTTTCTTTTTTCTTCTTTCTATCTTTCTTTCTTTCTTTCTTTCTTTCTTTCTTTCTTTCTTTCTTTCTTTCTTTCTTTCTTTCTTTCTTTCTTTCTTTCTTTCTTTCTTTCTTTCTTTCTTTCTTTCTTTCTTTCTTTCTTTCTTTCTTTCTTTCTTTCTTTCTTTCTTTCTTTCTTTCTTTCTTTCTTTCTTTCTTTCTTTCTTTCTTTCTTTCTTTCTTTCTTTCTTTCTTTCTTTCTTCTTTCTTCCCCCCCATATGTATATGTCAGCTTATAAGTGTGTGTATATGAATATGATCATATATGTTTGAGTATAGGTTTGTTGGTGAGTGAGGAAAAGTAATTAAATCAAGATAAGACTTGGCGCTCTTACACAGATTTGTAGGACTCTCTCTCTCTCTTCACCCCTTCTCTGAATTTCTGCTTAGGACGTTCATACACACAGTATGGGAAATCTGTATGAAAAAGGTAATATTAGAAATGACTTTTGAAGTAATGGTAATGAGAACAATTACCTGATTAGTAATACGTAACTGCTATTGTTATTTTTCATTTTTTTTTTTTTCAAAAATTAAGTAATAACTACGAATTCAATATATGTTACCCTACACTAAAACAGATTCGAGCAGTTTATCAAAATGTTTCTTTCCTCTCTTTTTTTTTCTACATTTTTCTTCTGCACCGCCGCCATTTTTTTGTATTCAATGCCCTTAAATATACCCAAGGCTCCTACCTTAACCGTTCCAGCCCTCCGCCATTCCCCAATGTGACCGAAGTCATTACCGCTCCAGCACTCCCCCCCCCCTTTTTTTTTTACCAAGGGGCGGTAGCGCCCACTTTGGGAAACACTGCTTAAAATTACTGGATAATGAACGTGCATCTGATTACCTAGATTACCAAATATTTTTTTTAGTACTCTGGATAACAAAGTAAAAACATGTTAGTCATAAAGTCAGGTCAATGTCACAAATAAGATGACCAATGGAAATTACTGCGTGAGAAAACCACACATGCATGTTAACCTATAAAGGGTCATTTTGCTGTTTTAAACATGCTTACTAATCTCCCAGACAAAGTCACATTTAAGTAACTTTGGTTGTGACTTTCGCTCTTGGGCAGTAAAGTGAGAAGCCATGTGGCATCTAATAGACGGTTCGTTCTGGTGTGTGCTGTTTATTAGTGCCCTTTGTAGTGGCCAGGAACTGCTGACGAATCCCAGCTTTGAGTATGGCGTGACCGGATGGAAAGGTGAAGGCTTCACTTTTCAGTCTGACTCCAGCAATGCCCACGAAGGAGCAGCTTCCGCTTTGTGCACAGACAGGTAACATTATTTGTGTACCCAGTTCAGCCCTAAAAAAAAAAAAAAAAAACCACATTACTTCAGCATTTGTTGTCTCAGAATTATTGGAGTGACTTTTTTGTAAGCTTTACTACATTAAAAGAAATACATATTTAGGCGAAGCTGATATAATAGTATGTGAGATCAATGAAAAGAATCGCAAAGAAATAATTTAGAAATGTCTAACAGGTACAGAGTAAAAAGCAAACAAACATACAATGAGTTCTGTGATATTGACAGAATAAATTATAGCTGTCTATTTAGAAAATGGGACGGAGAACTGTTTAGAAGGAGGGACGGAGAACTGTTTAGAAGGAGGGACGGAGAACTTTTCAGATAGAGGGACAGAGAACTGTTTAGAAGGAGGGACGGAGAATAATATTGCACTATTTTTATTATGAAATGATCATTTGTGTGTCGCTGCCGAAGTCACATCATAGAGCTGCTCCGTGCGAGACACTAAATTCCATTTTTTGTTGTAGTTGCAGATATATTCATAATCTAATTTACAGTCAGTTTTAGTAAGGCAAAGAAACGTATTCTTATCGGATATTCACTGGCCCCAAGGCTGGTACCAAGAAATGTTGTGATAAGAATATTGATGACATCACCTAATTCGAGTACAAATAATTTCAAAAGAAATGTAGGGCCCATAAAAATGTTCTGAACTGTTCCCACTGTTCACTAGCTGTGTATGTAACACGTGTATGTCAAATATTCATTTTACTATGTGACTGTCATCGTCGACGTCGTCATGTAGCAGGTCCTGTGCAGAACGTCTTTCTTATCACAAAAGCCAGGAAATCCACTCGGTCCCTTTTCAGTTTTTCCGCCTGTGAACTTTCATGTCAAAAGGCGTAGCCTGTGTTAAACAGAAAACCCAACATAAGGATGTAAGTTTAAGCAGTCATGCATACCAACCTCAGCAGATGAACAGATCAAGGGGATAATGATAGAAAGTAGTCAAGCGGAGAATGTCAGCCAAACAAAAGTCATTACAGCAGAGCTAATCAGTCATCCAGCTGCCCACAGCCAGCAACCCGATGTAGATGTCATCAGGAAAGTCCAACAGCCGACGACACCGTATTCCAGGCAACAACTATAATCCGACAAACTCTTGTCGGACAAGTCAAGTACTTCCATGCTAACATTTCCGGCGATTATGGAAAATCTGTCGGAGGAGTGACCATTGCTCAAGCCAAGGAAAGTTTGGGACGGAATGCTTACCACACTCAACAAGACTGTGAAAACAAGCAAGCTTATCCACGACATTAGAAAGAGAAAAAAAAATGCTAGAAGGCCTGACGTTCCAGATCAGCTTGCCTCATCAAACAAAACGCTGTAGATTCTGCGCAGAGCATCAATATTGTAGTGACTGTCCACTGGACAAGAGGGATGACGACTTTGGAAAGCTCAAATCTAAGTGTACCAAGTACCCCGCATGGGGGCCAGAAATAATAAGGGCTGTCGATAACTACAACAGCGAAGACAATAATCATCAAGGACAACCTATAGTATTAAAAAGGGCAAAGAAATTGTGAAGCATATAAGAACAGTCTGTCTCTGCATAAAGCACAATTTCAAGGCCAAATCATCAAGCTGGATAGTGAGATTAAGACC